GGAGTTTAAGTTCTCACTTTTTTTTTTCTTTTTTCTTTTTTTTACCTTAACCAAGGACTCTGTTAGGAGAATAGTTTTAGAATCTGAATACCTTTGGATACTTCTTCAAACAAATTTAAATGTGCAGACTGTTGGATGTCTGGAATTTTATCCCTTTCTGTTCTTAGGCTCCTCTCAAATGAACATTTTTTATTCTTGTCAAAATTTATTTAAAAATAGCTATTACAATTTTAAATTTTCTTTAGTGAAATTATGCCATTTTTAAAGATAGTAGGTATAAGAATTTGAGTTATGGTATAAATGGATGTAAGAAACAAAAGTACATATCAGAAGGGAAGTGGTCTTGGGTTTAGACCGAGGCCAATACTGCAGAACTAGGAATGGTCAATTGAAAGTGCTGCTTGTTACCTCTTGCCTCAGTTCCCCACAGCTTAATGGTGAGGCATTTACAGCTACAAACTTGACTACTCTGCAGTTTTCCATAGACAGTAAGGTATGGGGAGATATAACAGACAAAACGAGAAAGAGAAGAACTCTAAGCATTTTGCTAAATGAAAGCAAAATTTACCGAATAATTTTTGAAGTTTACTAGAGATTTTTGAACTTCTCAGTCCTCAGTGTTAGTTTGAGAAATGGATTTATCCTATCAACCTGTCACTTACACCTATCAACCTGTCACTCTCCTCTCAACTTCCATTTTATAAAGATACAACAAAAAATGACAGAGGCAGAGCTAAATAGTGTTGTTAGTTAGGAAACTGATTTCCACCAAGAATAAAATATTTTTCAAATCTAATCAGATAATCAAAAAAATATAAAACATAATAAACTTCCATTAAAAGAAATTGGAGTTCAAGCTCAACACAAGACTTAACTCATCATCACAGTCAGACTAACTGCTCCCTTTGCCCCCAGGAGGCTTGAGAGGCTAGAGATGCTCATAGTTTCTAAGTTGAGGTTTTGTTTTGGATCATGGTCAAGAAAAATTCTTGAGTAGATGTTTGTAAATCCCCAAAGTTGTTAGATTCTGGCTCTTTCTAAATGTCACCCAACAATCCACTGCTAGACAAATTTGATACAGCATGGAAGACAACTCCCTCAATAGACATGGTAGCAAGGGTATGCTAGGTCAGCTCCTATTAGCCTACAAAGGTTAATTCTGAGCATCTCTTCCCTCTTTCATGATCAGCCATGTCTCATAAATTGAAGATAGGCATGGTAGGACTATTTATATCACAGACATCATCCAGTTGTACAAATCATGGGTCCCCAACCCCACCCCTTAGAGAGCCAGTTTATTTTAGCAGCATATTGGCACATGAAGGCAAAGTTGGGATATTTTTGATATGTTGGAGTTTATTTTAAGGCAAGTTGTTTTAAAGTGGAGACTCGATTATAACTGAGTTATGATCATAATATAAAAGTTTTGGGTGGTGAGCACAATAGCAGAGAGTTTTGAAGCAAAGGTTTCAAAGTCTTAGAGAATAAAGAGCCAATGAATGATTTCTTCCAACTAGGCTTCACCTTCTATAGTTTCCATAGCCTTTCAATAGTTCATTCAATTTTGATTCTATCAGTGGATTCACCCATTGTTGAGGTCAGAGCCCTCTTGTTCCAATCACTTCTCCCAAGTGCCACCTCTGAAGGCTGCTGCATTGGGAACCAAGCTTTCAACATATGAGCCTTCAGTTTATATTCCAGGTCCAAACTATAAGAAGCCCCCTACTTCCTGAAATTTTCATTATCTTCTAATAACACCATAAGCTGGCAACAAAGACATCAGCATGTGGCTTTTGAGGAACATTTATGATGCAAACCATAACACTAATGTTATTTCTCTCCTGTCTTAAGTAAAGTGATAAGATCTGAAGACTACAAAGGTTCAGCAATAAATTAGTTGGAAAGAGGGAAAACAACTTTAAAAAAATGTTGGAAAGGGGCTGGGGTTGTGGCTCAGTGGTAGAGTGCTCGCCTGGCACATGTGAGGCACTGGGTTCAACAGAATACAACAGACACTAGTATGGCAATATGTAAAACAGTGGATGTGTAACCGATGTGATTCTGCAATCTGTATACGGGGTAAAAATGGGAGTTCATAACCCACTTGAATCAAATGTGTGAAATATGATATGTCGAGAACTATGTAATGTTTTGAACAACCAACAATAAAATTTTTTAAAAAATGATATAAAGATATTGTGTCCACCTACAACTAAAAAATAAATATTAAAAAATGTTGTAAAAGACAAAGGAGAATGTTTAAATCTTAGAATTGGAAGTCACCACTCTTGTGAAGGTTTATAAATATGGCAGAACTTTAGAGGAGATCAAGCTGTTGCAGGAAACCAACACTAAAGGACAGCTGTGAGGAATAAAAGGATTATTAATATTTCTACCATTTTTATGAGTTTGGTGAGACAGAACACATACAATAAATCAAGCAAAGCAGATTTATTTCTCACAGAAAGATAGCAAGAATAAACAGAAGCCTAGGATCCATGGCAAGCTCAGGAAAACTGCTCTGGGAAGATGGAACCTCTTCTGTGCATGTTCCACATTGACATGGCTGTAGGACCTTCAAAGCATTCCACTGTGATTCTTGATTGCTGAGCCTCAAGAATCACAGGACATCCTGTTCTCAGAGAGATGAGGATGTAGCCTGGGTTATCCCAAACATTCCCTACTTATCTCAAGATGTCCCATACTTGGCTCATTCTGAGAATTACAAGTGGGAAGAGATAGAACTAGGTTGGCCAGGGTCATATGGGGAACTATCCCCCATAACTAAACTTCCCAATTCAATTCCTCTTTTACCCTATGCTGAATACTTCTGTTGAGGAATAAGGATAGTAAAAGTTCCTCTTTGTGGCATATTTTATTATATTTCTTAAGATCTTTATATTGGGTTAATTCTTCTGTGTTCCTTTGTTTTCCTTCCTTCTTTTGTTCTTCTATTTGAAACCATACAGAGTAAATCTATCCCTTATTCAGTTTAACATATTGAAGACTCTACCATAATTATTGTTATATTGTTTTATGGGTTTTCCCCCCTGGAAATAAAAAGCTGGGGTTTATTCAAATACACCTCTATTTTAGAGGCATTCAGTATGCAATATTTTTGGTCTGTGACTGTTTCTTGCCCTCTGTGAACTGTACATTAAGGGTCACTACAAAGTAGGGAGCTTAGATATTACAAACACTATAAATCAACACACTGCTTCCTTCATTAAGAAAGTCTTGCTATGAGAAAATATAGATGGATTGATTAAACAGTGTGTTTAGGAATACTTTTTCCCCTTATAGTTTAAGCTTTTTATATTGCTGCAGACTAATAATAAACAGTTGAACTAAATAATTGAACAATTGAAATGAACTATGGACTTACTCTAATCATTTTGCTCTAAAATAGCCTCTGGAATATAACCAGCTTTTCCAGAAAGAGTCTTCTAAAAAAGTAGTAGAAAATATTATACCCTTGTATCTGGACCCAATTTGTCTTACTTTTTAGTGAATTTCCGATCAAGTATATCACCTGATAAGAATTATACATTTATTTACCTTGAAATTCTTCTTGCTGTTTATAATCCATTGTTTCAAAGTGACAACCTCCTGTTCAATTTTATATCATTTGCAAATGTGAGATATTCAACTATTAATGTGTTAAAAAAAAGACAAAACAAAACCCCCCAAATTTAGCCAACCACTTTTTAAAAAATAATTCTATATGAGTCTGTGGTTCAGCTGGTCAGTTATGCTAGCCTTGGTTCATTCTGATGACCTTTCTGGGATTATTTAGGCATCTGCCATCAGCTAGTGGTTGTCTAGGGACTCATCAGTCTAGGTACCCCCAGCTGAAATGACTCATCTCTGCTCCACAGGACTTGTAACCTCTAGTAGACTAGCTTGAGCTTGTTCTCATGGCCACAACAGGATGCAAAGAAAGATAGGAAGCACATGAGATCTCTGTAAGGATCAGCCCCACCCTTGGCATAGAGTAGAGCAAAGCAAAGTAGAAAATAACTCTGGAGGAAGACAAAGATAAAATAGCCATCGTAATATCAGTGTCTACTTCCAAATTCTTTATAAAATTTTGAAAATGGCACTGATAAATATTTCTCTTAAAAGACCTCAATGAACCTCTATAGATATAGATGCACTGAAAGATCCCAAGGTAGATCTAGCTGAGCTCAGTCAACTCACAGAACCATGAAAAATGATGATAATTGGTGTTTTAATCCACTAAGTTTGAAGATGACTTAGTAAGCATTTATTTTTTTAAAATTTAAACCTTAGGTATTATTAACTATACTGTTGTACTTGAAATAAAATTTGAAAATAGTTATAGGAAACATGATGATATAAGATCTGTATAGTTCTACCTTTTCAATGAGAATGAAGCTATACTGAATAGAGCTTACTATACTTTACATCTTTCAGAGTAATATACATAATGAATCAAAGAAACCGAGAAAAAAAAAGGGATAGCGTTTCATGTTTGGGGTTGATAAGATGCCACTAAATAAATGGCACTTTACCATAACCCTAGTGAATATTTTTATTATCCTCATTTTCCCTTTTCTCACTCTCTTCTTTTCTCTGTCCCCAATTTCTGAGTAGTTTTCATCCCATTTCACTCCATATCAGTAGGAGCCTGTTTCATGTCCATAATCTTCTGATGATATTTATATTACATGAAATACAAAAGGATACTGTTCAAACAGATATCCATATGGAGAATTCAGGTAAGCAATCCTTAGGGTGAGAGAGTAGTTCTTGGCAGAATTTCATCCACAAAAGACTCCATCTGCTACTATAATCATCTTTGTTCTTTGTTCTTCTGCCTGATCAGAAATGGCCAGAATGCAGTTGGCATCTTACAAATGGTATATTTTGTATATTTTTTAAACTCTATGATGACAGAAACATTAGTACAATCCTTTGTTATACTCAAGGATAAAGTCTGAGTATTAGAGTGTTTCACAACTCCATTTTATTTTCAGGTATTCCAAAGCTGATTACATCTGATATGGTTAAAGAAGGTGCTGCTGTAATTGATGTCGGTATCAACTATGTCCATGATCCGGTAACAGGAAAGACAAAATTAGTTGGAGATGTGGACTTTGAAGGTAAGAAATCAAATATCTTTTGCTAAATGAAAAAAATTCTGTTTTGCATGCTTTGAAGATAGAAAGAAAAATTTTCAGTTTTGTATGGACATCATTAAGTTATTAATCATCAACAACTCTTTCCTTTGAGGGAAGAATTTAATCATACTTGTATCATCTTCCCTCTTTCCCTCCCTTTCTCCTATCCTTCCTTTTATTTTTCTTCCTCCCTTCCTTCTAATTGTACCACTAATCTTTGGTTTTAAGATCAAATTTCTTGTTGTGCAGTTTTAATGAAAGAATTCAGCTGACCTTTCACAGACATTTGCATTATTTTTATTTTTTGGAGTAGTGTTATTTTTTGCTACATTTAGCCATCTGTGTTTTCTACTCAGCCATTCATTCTTAGAGTAAGAAGAGATCTTAGGTTGTGTTTGGCAATCTAGACCATAGTTCAGATCTACATAGTTGTCTAGAAAATTGAAGTTGATGTTTTTTCATTTTTGCCTTACAGAGGATAAACAAGAGGATTTAGGCTAAAATTTCTGTAGCCAATGAAAGATTTAAGACAGTCAACATGTAGTTGTAAAATAGAATAATTCTAACCAAATGAACGTTCTTTCTACTGATGAGAAAACTGAGCCCCAAGAGATATATGTTTCATGATGCCAGACCCCTAAACCAGTTTTACTTCCAATATCTTTGTCAGAATCTAACCTATATGTAGGTTTTCATAATAGCCTATAAGTCTTAGATGTGTACAAAGGTATGAATATGGTAGAGTGAGAACATTTCATATTAGAAGAATTTTATGTAAAAGACTGATCATTCTGACCCCAAAAAGCAGGACTACATGAAGATTTTATTTATTTATTTATTTTGCACTGGGATTGAACCCAGGATCACTTAACCATTGTGCCCCAGCAGACCCTACCCCCATTTATATTTTATTTAGAGGCAGGGTTTTGCTGAGTTGTTTAGGGCCTCACTAAGTTGCTGAGGCTAAGTTTGAGTTTGCAATACTCCTGCCTCAGACTCCCAAACTTCTGTGATTACAGGCAAGCACCACCACCTGGCTAGATGAAGATTTTATTAGTTACAGGAATGTGCTTACAGATAAACTCAATCAATAATATGATATTTAAAATTCAGATATTTTATTTTTAAAACTATACTTTAAAATTAAAATGATATCTCAGCAACCTCAAGAGCAAGAAGGCTCCTCAACAGCCTGAAGCCAGGCACAGAGGCAGAGTCAGAGCAAGTGGGTTCTTTACTTATTCTGCCATCAAAACCCTCAGCCTCCTGCACAAGTCCTGGGTGGCCTATGGTGACACCACCTTCTGGTCAGCAGAACCTGCAACTTACCGCATGAACAGGGTTGCACTGATCGATGGGGCTTTTAAAGTCCGTCCTTAACTCATCAAAGGCAATGATCTGGAACAGAACAGAGAACCAAGATGTTAGCACACAGGGAAGTCGATGCACCACCCCAAAAGCTTCCTGGAGTTGTGTTTCCACATAACACTGAAGGCAGGAAGTGGGCCCAGGCAACCAACTCAAGACTGGCCAGGAGTTGGTCACTGTTGAAGCTGGGAATGTGCACATGAGGGTGATTATCTTCTTTCATCTACTGTATATGTTTAAAATATTCCCAAATAACTTTTTTTAAAAAAAAAATAAAAAATTAAATTAAAATTTTCAATATCCCTAGCAATCAGGGATATGTAAGTCCAATCTATACTGAGATTGTATCTCACTCCAGTTAGAATGACAATCATCGAGAATACAAATAGTGATAAATGTTGGTGAGGATGTGGGAGAAAGGTATACTCGTACGTTGTTGATGGGACTGCCAATTAGTATAACCACTTTGAAAAACATAATTTCAGATTTTAAATTTTTACTTGGAACCTGGTCTTTAGCTGATAGTTTACACAGTTCCTAGCATGGTGTTGAATAAAATTTTAAAATGTAGACAGTAAGGAGGGTCCTAGGGTATTGGCCTCATATATGAGATTCTAAGATGTAACAGGGACTAGGTCCAGGTAAACACTTTGAACTTGGTGGTAAAGAAAAACTTAATGAGACATACATACAATACCTGCAGCTCTTGTGCCCTAGGAGTTTCCTAACTCACTCTCATACTTTTTACGGAATGGTGAATAAGAGCAAAGCACAGATGGACCTTATCAAAGAATACAGTGCTGCCCTTGTAGGTTATAATTCATAGGGTCCCCAACATGGATGGAATTCTAGTCTAGCAGGATGAGTGTGTGTGTGTGTGTGTGTGTGTGTGTGTGTTGTGTGTGTGTGTGTGTTGCATGTACATGCTGAAATTATTAGGATATAACCTTATTTATTTATTTCATCTTTCAAGTTCAGTGATTCCAATCAGATATCAATAATTTATTTGAATTTCTCAACTCACATGAGTAAAGATACATTATATTTTAAAACCTGGCATGTTATTTTCTGCGGTGTCATTCTGTTTCTTGATAACATTATAGTTACTATGTGTTTATTGCAAAATCACCACATACCAGATGGCACGGACAGCATAGATAACCAGATCAAAAAAAAAAAAAAAAAAAAGCTGGGATGTTTGCAATTCACAACCTTGACTATGCCTGTGGGACAAGCTTAGCTAGCAGTTCTTCATCATATTTTATAAGACTCTCTTTCTCATAGGGTATTTCATTGGTCTCAGATGATTTCCATGCTTTCTTGTATTTAACCAAGAATAGTATTTTGTTCATGAAGGTTTGCTGAAAACATTATAAAATAAGTATTTGGGGGTGGGTGTGTATGTTCAGTGGTCAGACAGATATGCACTTAAGGCTGCATACTGCTCAACTTGGTATCTGTTAAATCAAATTGTAGTTCTCTGTACCTAAGTATTTAATAAAATTTCAAAAAGAAAATGGTAAAGAGAAATAATAATATAAAATGAACAGAAAAAAAACATTGGACTAGATAACCAAAGAGGTTATTTTAGACATGCACTGCTGTCTGATATCTTTGCAACCTCTCTGACCATCAGTATTTCAGTGTTACGGTAGCCTTCCCTTATCCAAGGTTCTGTTTTCCTGGCATACTCAACCAGAAAACTGTAATTGTATCATCTCATATTATCACAAGAAGAAGGCTGAGTATAGTACATAAAATATTTTGAGACACAGAGGGGGACCACATTTATGTAACTATTATTAAGGTCTAATTTATAGTTGTTCTATATTCTTATTATTGTTATTAATATGCCTTAATTATACATAAAACTTGAACATATGTGATATGTATAGGAAGAAACATGATATGTAGAGTTGGGTACTATCTTCAGTTTCAGACATACAGAAACTGAACATATCCCCCATAGATATGGGAGACTCATATATTAACAATGGGTTCCTTTAGCTTTAATGTTTACTACATCCTGGACATTCAACAAGGCACTACCAGATGATCATGTAAAAACACAGAAACTCTTAGGCCAGAATTTTCCAATCCTGTCATAAAAAACACCTATATGATTGCTAGTAGTTTTTGTTGCTGCCCTGTTGGCTCATGGAACCAGAGCTCTAAGGAAGATCAGGACTTGGTAAAGAAGGCCTTGCCAGTGAGGCCGTGACTCAGCCACCCATATGAGCAGGCAAGTGATAGGTTTTGACATGTTGTTCTTTAGGTTGTTCACAGGACTTAACCTGAGGTGAGGGATGATCCCCAGCTAAAAGGGAGGGGCTTTAACTTGGGTTATGCCACAAAACTCATAGGTAGCATTTGGCTGCAAATTGCCACAGGGAAAGTGTGCCTGCTTTGTGAGTATCGATGAAAGTTTCACTATAACTACTGCCAAGATAAAGCGGATGTAGGTAAAATCAAATGTTGAAATAAATTATCCTTGCAGAAATGTCTGGCTCATTAATAAAGGAAACCAAGCAACCCATTTAAAATAGATTATATTTATGGGAATGATTTATTGACATAAATAAACAAATTGGTTGTGACAAAAAGAATGAATGGTGCCCCAGAGGAAGTGGTGCTGGCATAAAACTTCACCCTAAATGAAATTTCAGAGATATTTCATGACATTGAAAGGGCAAAGGATAAAAATGCTGGAAGTTTATGCAAACTGAGGAAGCAATCTGAGAATTTTCCAAGATAGAGAAAAAATTGCTTTCTCCAAATAGTAAGTTATATGACCAGAAGAAGGCATTCACCAAGCTATTCTTGACAGGAGTTTTCAAAAAAATAAAACACTTATACTCAATGTTTCTAATGTTTTAAGTTATGGGACCCTAAATAAACATTAGTTTTCCTATTATTTTCAATTCCAAATATATCTGTAAACTATGGTAAGAGACTTTTAAATGTTTTGACAAAAGTTTTTAAAGATCATTGAACAAATATAATTTTCCCTATTGATTATTAATATTTATTTGCAGTGTTTTAAAAATCATTTTTATGATCTTACACTACTGTGAAAACTGAGTACTGCTATATTTATCCCTGTATAATAAAATATCATGAAATTAGTGATCAGTAGTTCAAATTCATATACAATGCCATAATCACCACTATGACATGATTATCCAATTTTGTTTGGCAATATTTCTCACTATTATTCTTGAAGTATTATCCATGCAGGTGATTCAGTGTTGTTTATCAGTTTTCTAGAGACTCAATGCTTCTACTTTGCCTCCCTATAGATCTAACATGGGCCGGTTGTGCAATGTCAAACCTCTCCAGGTGCTTTGAGAAATAAATAGGGCCTCAAATTAGTACTATTTTGTTTTGTATTGATTCCCCCTTACAAATCTCAAAATGATTCATCACTGCTTTCAGCCTCTGATAAATACTTAACTTCAATTACCTGAACAGATCTACCCCACCAACTTAAGACATTAAAAGAAGAAACAGGGGTTGGGGTTGTGGCTCAGTGGTAGTGTACTTGCCTAGCATTTGTGAGGCACTGGGTTCAATCCTCAGCACCACATAAAAATAAATAAATAAAATAAAGATAG